GGGCACTGAGCCTGGGGGTACTGCGACTGAGCCTACGGAGCCTGGGGTTGCTGCGTCTGGGGGTGCTCCGGTTCGGGGTGCTGAGCAGTCTCTCACACCGCAGCAGCTTCGTGACTGGTACGTCCGGCGCTTTCGCCGTCCTCGTGGCCCTGCTGGAGTTGGAGGTTCTGGAGCTGCTCGTCCTGGAGGTGCTCGTACTGGAGGTACTGGAGCTGCCGGGACTGGCTGTTCTGGGAGCACTGAGGCTGGAGCTGCTGGAGCTGGGGACTCTGGAGCTGGCGGTGCCAGCGGAGTTGGAGCTACCGGCTCTGGGGGTGCTCTTCCTGGCGGTACTGGAGCTGCTGGAGCTGACGACACTGGAGCTGACGGTTCTGGACACGGTGGTCCTGCTGGTTCTGGAGGTGCTGGCGAGGGGAGGTCTGACGCTGCTGGGGCCTCTGGTGCTGACGTCGCCGACTCTGGGGGTGCTGCGGCGGAGGGTGCTGGTCCTGGTGCTTCTGGTGCTGCGGGTGCTGGAGGTGCTGGCGGAGCTCCGCCGTCGCGCCTGTTCTTCGCTCCTCCGTCACCGTCGGCTTTGCCACCGCCTGACACGGTGCTTCGCCAGGTTCTTTCCCTCCCGTCTTCCACTGGCCTTCCCCTCCAGCCTGGCTCCCCCCTCCCTGCTCCTGTGCCTTACACTGCGCAGCCGGACTCGCTTACGGAGCGTCGCGAGCCTGCGTCTCGTCCTGCCTCGCCTGTTCGCGCTGCTCGCACTGCTCGCACTGCGCGCACTGGTCCCACTGGTCGTCGTGTCGCGCGTCCGCGTCCTCCTCCTGTTCCTGGCACGCATATTATGGCCCTTCGTCCTTCCACTGGTCCACAGCGTGTCCCCCTACCGTCTCCTCCTGCGTCTTCTCTTCCTGACGTTCCCGACCCTGAGTCTGACAGTGTTCGTGCTGCCCACCCTACTGTTACGCGTCTTCTCGCCACTGTTGTCACTGACCCGTCGTTTGAGTCTTCTGCTGCGTCTGCCCTGGTCGCTGAGCTTGTCGACTTTGCTGCTGCATGTCGCCTAGACTACGCCGCCAGTCTTGTTGCTGAGTCTGAGTCTGTCTGTCCTCCGTCCGTCGGGGGTGAGTGTGCTCTTGGCACGGACGTCCTTGAGGACAGGCAGGAGGACTTTGACTCTCTTGCGGCTGCTGTACCTCATCTCGTGGCCTGGTTGCTTGCCCCTGAGGGAGACCCGGATGCACTAGACATCCCCACTCCGTGCTCTTACGCAGAGGCGATCTCGGGTCCCTACTCCTCTCAGTGGCAGACAGCCATGGACGCAGAGATGGCATCCTGGAAGTCCACAGGCACCTACGTCGACGAGGTTCCCCCTCCTGGGGCGAACATCGTCGATGGCATGTGGATTTTCAGGGTGAAGCGGCCGCCGGGTTCTCCGCCTGTCTTCAAGGCTCGTTACGTTGCTAGAGGCTTCAGTCAGCGCCAGGGGGTTGACTTCTTCCAGACCTTCTCCCCCACCCCGAAGATGACCACTCTTCGGGTTCTGCTGCACGTTGCTGCTCAGCGTGACTACGAGCTTCACTCTCTTGACTTCAGCACAGCTTTCCTGCAGGGCAGCCTGCACGAGGAGATCTGGCTGCGCCGCCCACCTGGCTTTACTGGGTCGTTTCCTCCTGGTACCCAGTGGAGCCTCCGCCGGCCAGTCTACGGTCTCCGCCAGGTGCCACGTGAGTGGCACGACACACTGAGGACTACACTTGCGGCCCTTGGGTTCGCGCCGTCTACTGCTGACCCGTCGCTGTTTCTGCGCACAGACACGTCGCTGCCGCCGTTCTACATTCTCGTGTACGTCGACGACTTGGTCTTTGCTACTGCTGACACTGAGGCACTCGCTCGTGTGAAGTCGGAGCTGCAGAAGAGACACACCTGCACTGACCTGGGTGAGCTGCGTAGCTACCTTGGCTTGCAGATCACCCGGGACAGAGCACGCCGCACCATTACCCTGACTCAGTCACACATGGTGCAGCAGGTCCTTCAGCGCTTCGGCTTCCAGTTCTCCTCACCACAGGCCACACCTCTGGCTACCAGCCACTCGCTCTCAGCTCCACCTTCGGACGAGTCCGTAGAGCCGAGTGGCCCGTACCCAGAGCTTGTAGGCTGCCTCATGTACCTGATGACTTGCACGCGACCTGACCTCGCGTACCCTCTTAGCATCCTTGCTCGTTACGTTGCGCCTGGGAGACACAGGCGAGAGCACTGGGAGGCTGCTAAGAGGGTGCTGCGTTACTTGTGCAGTACATCAGGCATGGGGCTGGTGCTTGGAGGACGCGACAGAGTTGTTCTCACTGGTCACTCGGACGCTTCTTGGGTGGACGACTTGGCTACGCAGCGGTCGTCGCAGGGTTACACCTTCAGCCTTGGCTCTGGTTCTGTCTCGTGGCGGTCCACCCGTTCTTCTTCTGTTCTCAGCTCTAGTTGTGAGGCTGAGATCTACGCCACGGCCATGGCTGCACAGGAGTTACGCTGGCTCACCTACCTGCTGACTGACTTGGGAGAGCGGCCTAGTTCTCCTCCAGTTCTGTACGGCGACAACAAGGCGGCCCTTGCCTTGTGTCAGGAGCACAGACTGGAGCACAGGACGAAGCACATTGCTCTTCGCTACTTTCTTGCTCGAGAGCTGCAGCAGCGAGGTCAGCTTCGGCTTGTGTACGTGGACTCGAAGGCCAACACTGCTGATATCTTCACCAAGGCGCTCCCGCCTAGTGATCATCAGCGGCACTGTACTTCTTTAGGCCTTGTGTCCACATTCCCTCATTTGCTTACTGCTTGACTTTCTTTGTACTGTACTTTATATATATATCTTGTTGCTTGCTTGCTAGGTTTTGATCACTGTGTTGCTTGTCTTGTACTATATCTAGCACTGCATGTGAACTGGCCTTGTGGCCTTTGTTTGTGCTCGGAGTGTGGTGACGTTGTGATCCACCCTGGGCTTGCGTTGCTTTGCTGGACTGGTCTTGTGACCCTTTGTTCTCCCCCACTTTGCCTATGGGGGTGTGTTAAATTGTAATGTGTTACATGTTGGTAGGCTGTAGTGGGGTAGCCAATATGGGGTACAACCCCAACTAGGGTTTGCTACTTGTACCCAACTGTTTCATTCAATGCACCATTCTTGCCTAGTCCTGTTGATAGTATGAGGGGGTGGCGTGCAAGTGGAGCTAGGGGTGAAGCAGTGGGTGTGTGGGGGGTGTGTGGGACAGTTGGAGGAGGTTGGGTGGAGGCAGCCGTCCTGTCGCCAGCAGCGCCAGTAGTCCGGTGCCGTCGAGCTCTCGGTAGCCCAGTGAGCCTGTTGTGCCAGTCGCCCGTGGGTCCGTTGCTCCTGCCGCTCGTCGTAGCAGCAGAGCCTGTTACTCCTGTAGTCCGGTGCCATCGTGCTCTCGGTAGCCACTGTGCCAGCCGCTCCTGTTGCCCGTGTGTCTGCAGCTTCAGTCGTCGCCTCCCATCTTCTCTCCTTCCACAGTTCCTCCTCCTCACTTGCCCGCTGTGATTACCTCTAGCTTTGCTTATTATTTGTGAACTCTGTGAACTGCTGCTTGCTGTGCTGATTACACCCCACCTTGGCTATGGGGGTGTGTCAGAATGTTATATTATCTAGCCTGCAGTGGGGTGCTCTATAGCGAGTACAACCCAGTTAGGGTTTGCTATATGTATCCAACTGCTTGCTAGTGAACATCCTCTTTCTGTTTCTAAACTTTCTACTCCTAAGTTTCTGACAGGTGGCAGTCATTTGACGACAAGAGACAATCAGATTTGCCAGCACCAGGTTCGCCATGCAAAGAGTCTGGAATGTACAGTGGAGGCGATCCTACACAGATAAATCTACAGTGGTGTAAATGAAATGGCTGGGGATGTGCAAAGCTCAGTGACCGTAGCAGTGACAAAGTGACTGTAGCAGTGAGACAGTGACTGTAGCAGTGAGACAGTGACTGTAGCAATGAGACAGTGAACAATTTTGTCCAACTCCACTCATCCCAAGTGCTCTGGCTACATCCACCCATGCCACTGAATGCAGCTGCTGCTCCTCCTCCTCCTGCTGCTGCTGCTGCTGCTCCTCCTCCTCCTGCTGCTGCTGCTGCTGCTCCTCCTCCTCCTCCTCCTGCTGCTGCTGCTGCTGCTCCTCCTCCTGCTGCTGCTGCTGCTGCTCCTCCTCCTCCTCCTGCTGCTGCTGCTGCTGCTCCTCCTCCTCCTGCTGCTGCTGCTGCTGCTGCTGCTCCTCCTGCTGCTGCTGCCGCCGCCGCCGCCGCTGCTGCTGCTTCTGATGCTGCAGGTTTTACAACTGGTGCCTGTGTGCGTGCTAATGTGTCATCCCACACGTGCATGTAGTATCTGTGCTAGCAACAAGCTTGTCAAGCGCATGTCGTCCCATGCTCCATCCACTCTCACATGTCGTCAAGCGCATGTCGTCCCATGCTACATCCACTCTCACATGTCGTCAAGCGCATGTCGTCCCATGCTACATCCACTCTCACATGTCGTCAAGCGCATGTCGTCCCATGCTACATCCACTCTCACATGTCGTCAAGCGCATGTCGTCCCATGCTACATCCACTCTCACATGTGTGTTTTGAATCGACTCAACCCGCGCTTGCTGTCCTGTCATCCCACGCGTGCATGCAGTATCTGTGTCAGAGACGGGCTTGTCAGCTGCATGTCATACCATGCTGCATCCACTCTCGCAGGTGTGTTTTGAGACGACTCATAACATGCTTGCTATGGTGTCATCCCACGCGTGCATGCAGTATCTGTGCCAGAGACGGGCTTGTCAGCCGCATGTCGTCCCATGCTGCATCCACTCTCAGGTGTGTTTTGAGACGACTCATAACATGCTTCTATCCTGTCACCCCACGCGTGCATGTAGTATCTGTGCCAAAGACATGCTTGTTAGGCGCATGTCATCCCATGCGTGCCTGCTGAATCTGTGACTGTGGCTCATCCCATGCATCTGCATCTATAGACTATTGCATGCGTGCATGCAGTATCTGTGCCAGAGACATGCTTGTCAGGCGCATGTCATCCCATGCTGCATCCACTCTCACATACGGCCACCCCATGATTCTTGCTGCTGCTGCCTCCTCACACCCATCCCCCACCGCCACAAACCGGTGCTCACTGCTCTGCACCCGTCGAGCTTTCTTACAGGACGATGCATCTGCAGCAACCCCTTCCCCGTTGCTGCTGACTGTGCTGGTAACCGCACTGGTGTAACGGTTGGAATAATGGTCACCGCAATGGTAACCGTCCTTGTAGCGGTCTCGAATGTGCTTGAAGCACACGAGCTTGCCTTCCTTGCGGGAGCTGTAGACTGCAACGGGCAGAGCGAAATAGACGGGGAGATTGAGAGGAGGAAATGTGTCAGGAGGGGGGTGGGAAGGAAGGGTGGGAGGGAGGGGAGGGGAGCGGAGGGTGGGTGGGAGGGGAGGGGGTCAATATCGTTTACAGTGCACCCCACAGTTGTAGCGTGAGCACTCACAAGGGCCTGGCAACAGTGCAAACGACGCAGTGGTATTATGAAATCCCGAAGCGTAAAACTTTCCAACCTCAGCACATCACAGAGTGCCCCCACACCGAGCACATGAGCAATTGCCCTCAGTCGCTATGACATGCATTTGTTGACTCCACTATGGCATTATGAAAAGCACAGAAGTGTATGTACCAACAGCAAACTTCTCCTGGTGGGGCAGATAAAAGGATGACTTACTGTCGCTCGGGCAGGCGAAAGGATTGACTTACTGTTGGTCAAGCAGATGAAGGAATCGAGGCCGAACAGCATGCATTTGGCAAGGGTTGGAATGAGCTGCCCGGAAGAAACCACCACATTGACTGCCCCTGCACCACTCTCTGTTGCTACAGTCCCTGCACTAGCCTCTGCTGCTGCAGTCCCGGTACCACCCTCTTCTGCTGCGGTCCCTGCACCACCCTCTGCTGCTGTAGCCCCTGTATCACCCTCCTCTGGTGTAGCCCCTGTACTACACTCTGCTGCTGCACCCCCTGCACCACGCTCTGCTGATCCAGTCTTGGCTGCTCTCGTTTCTTCAGCTTCTGCTGCTGCTGATGCAATTGGTGCCGCCGCTGCCGCCGCTGCTGTTGGGTCTGAAGGAGCACATGATGCCGATGCTGCAGCAAGCATGGCCCGACCTAGAGTGGTGCCACAAGATGGGATGCGGTGGGATGGAATGGGATGAATGGGATGAGACAAGGTTGAGGTGTAAGCATCAAGGTAGCGACCATGGCTAGTGCATTAAATTACAGGGATCACCAATTCTAACACCCACCTGCTCCCATCCCCCCGCCTGCTCTGCTCTCATTCATTCCCCACCGCTGCTGAAAACGCACCTTCTGAGTCGACCTAGACGCACCTGCCCTCCACCTGCACCCACCAACCAGCTCTGCTCTCATCCCCCCCCCTGCTCTGCTCCCATCCCGCCACCTGCCCTGCTCTCATTCCCCCACATGCTCTCCTTAAAACGCACTTTGAGTTGATTCAAACACACACCTTCCGAGTCGACCTAGAACACACGTCCCCTCCACCTGCACCCACCTACCTGCTCTCAACCATCCATTGGTGAATTTGTCTGTGTACAGCTGCTGTCGTTGTGCCTCTTGGGCGGGTGTGAGGAGAGCCGAGATTCCCTGCGGGTCGAGAGGAAGAAGGGGATTATAGGAATTCATGAGACTTCTCGTAGCACGGATGGGTGATTGTGTTTGTTTGTGCGTACAGCTGCTGCCGGTGTGCCTCTTGGGCGGGTGTGAGGAGGGATGAGATTCCCTGCGGGCCAGGAGGAAGAAGGGGTAGGTAGGCGTTCATGAGACTGAGACTTCTCGTACCACGGATTTTATCAAGGAAGAGGAGGACGGTCAATAGGGTAGCCTGCCGTGAGGCAAATTTCTCGGAGAAACCCTAGCATGGAAAGACTGAAGAAGTCTCAAACGGAGAGATGGGGAATGTAATTCAAGGAGCAAATTTACAAGACGTCTTAAAAAAAAAAAAAAAAAAAAAAAAAAAAAACACACACACACACACACACACACACACACACGCACGCACGCACGCACGCACGCACGCACGCACGCACGCACGCACGCACGCACGCATGCACACACCCACACACACACACATGCACGCACGCACGCACGCACGCACGCACGCACGCACACACACACACACACACACACACACACACACACACACACACACACACACAGAATCCCAAACAGTGCGACTATTGAGTGGACTCAACTTCGGACTGCCTCAGCCTGAGACATCTCAGAAGAACCTGAATTTACCTTCCTGTATGCGAATTCTATCTGCTGGAACCGCTCTGCAACCATCTGGCTTTCCTGACGACCCACCACACCAGCAGTGACGTCAGAACTAGCAGAAACTGCTGGCTTTTTCCGGCCTGCCATGGAACCATCGCAGTGGCTCGGCGCTGCCACGTCAGCAGGCTTGTTACCAGCTTCCACGTGGCGCAGGTTTGGGAGGTCCACGTCCTCAAGCTGACGTGGCAAGACAGAGCCAAGGACCGGGGAGATATGGGGGAAAATGGGGAGACAGGCCGACGTGAAATGCAGCATACAAGGAATCAATTGCGATACAAGGGGGGGGACAATATGGGATGAGAGGAGAGGGGGCCAACATAAATACCTTAGATGGGGTGTGTGCTGAAACGAGGTGACAGGTAATAATCACTCAAGAAAGGCAAGGCAAGGCACAGATGCAGTGTGCGTGCACCCACACATACACATGCGCACGCGCATGCACGCACACATGCAGACGCTCGAACGCACACCCTCTCCCCCCCCACCCCCACACCCATCCACCCAACCCAGCTCCCGTGTACACGTCAAGACTAAGCCCTTCCATGCTCCCGTGCCCGCTCCTCCACCCCTCTGCTCAGCCCTGCCCCACGCACACACATGCACACATGCGCACTAGCTCACCTCTTTGAAGAAGAAGTGGTCGTCGCACACGTCAAGAATCTACCTCTCCCACTCCTTGCACAGCTCCCGTGCCCGCTCCTCCACCCCTCTGGCGAGTTGTGTCTTGCCCTCCACACACACGCGCACACACACGCAGACACACGCACGCACCTCTTTGAAAAAAAAGTGGCCATCACACACGTCAAGTATCAGCCTCTCCCACGCCTCCCCCAACTCCCGTGCGCGCTCCTCCACCCCTCTCGCTTCGCTGCTCCCCCCTGCCCCACTGCCTCCCCCTGCTTCTCTATCAGCCAGAAGAGTCTTGGCGAATTTCCCCGAGAGCAGCGACTGGAAGATGATAAGGGTTTCGTCCAGGTCCCATACGATCGCAGGGCGAGGGCGGGGAGGTGGAGGCGAGTGCAAGGCAGCAGCAGGAGAAAGAGGAGAAGGGGGAGAAAATGGAGGCGCGGCTTCATCAACCCACTTTTCCCCGTCAATCCTCCTCTCCTTCTCCTGCCTCTCGTCTTCCTCTCCTGATCCAAACTTCCTCTTCACACTCTCTCTCCTTTCCCTTCCCTCACCACCTTTCTCACCCTCCCAACCTGCCTCCCCAATACCTCCTCCTCCTCCCATCTCCCTTACTCCGTCTACTAGCTCCTTTTCCTCTCCCTCGCTGCCCTCATGCAGCACACGTGGCAGGGACACATCCCGCGCCACGTCAGCAGGCCGGACCGGGTCATATTTTACGTCAGCGGGCTTGAGCGGGTCATACGCCACGTCACCAGCATGAGTGTGCTGATCGATGTGTGGAAGAGCAACATTAGTGGAGGTGGCAGGCTGCTTAGAAGGCTGCCTGTGCACCGGGTGGGGAGAGCGGCAGATACGGAAGAAAGGGGTGCGCATACGGATAGGAGAAGGGCAGATACGGACAGGAGAGGGACGGGTGCACAAGGGGGAGGGGAGAAGAAGGGGGAGGAGAGGAGCAGAAGGGGAGGCGCACACCCGGGGATGGAGCAGAAGGGGGGGCGCGCATAAGGGGGAGGGGAGCAGAAGGGGGGAGCACAAGGGGGAGGGGAACAGAAGGGGGGAGCACAAGGGGGAGGGGAACAGAAGGGGGGGAGCACAAGGGGGAGGGGAGCGGAAGGGGGGAAGGGGTGGAGCACAGGCATGGGGGCAGAGCAGAGAGAGGAGAATGCGTGGTGAGCTGGAAAGGGGAGGGAAAAGGGGAGGGCAGGAGGGTAGAGGCAGTGAGGCGGTAGTGCTTTGAGCAAAGCTTATAGGTGGCGGAGAGATGGTAGAGACTGAGGGGGTTGATGGAAGTAGGACGGGGAGGCGGAAGTGAGAGGGAGAGGCGGAAGTGAGAGGGAGAGGCGGAAGTGAGAGAGAGGGAGAGGCTGAAGTGAGAAGGGGAGGCGGAAGTGAGAAGGGCAGGCGGAAGTGAGGAGGGCAGGCGGAAGTGAGAAGGGCAGGCGGAAGTGAGAGGGAGAGGCGGAAGTGAGAGGGAGAGGCGGAAGTGAGAGGGAGAGGCGGAAGTGAGAGGGAGAGGCGGAAGTGAGAAGGGCAGGCGGAAGTGAGAAGGGGAGAGAGAGGTGATGAGGGAGGTTGACAGGTTTAGGGGGTGGAGAAGAGAATGGTGCGTAAGTGACACATAAAGAGTTCACAATAGAAGGCATCTCTCTGGTGAGCCATCATCAGTTTCATGGGCCTTTTGTATTCAGCACATACGGTAAGAGAACTTAACTCACAATGGAAACACGGCAGCTGTGATCTGCTGGTGGTGGTGCAGTCGCTGCTGCTGCCGCTGCTGCTGGTTCGGGTGGTGGTGCTGGCGGGAGTGGTGGGTGGGGCAGTGCTGCTGCACCAGAGGCAGGAGTTGAGAGGTGATAGGCAGATGAATCCAAGGAGGTGGAGGGTGTGTGGAGGTTGTAGCAGTAGAATCAGAGTGAGTGGAGGCTACCTCTGCTGAACTGGGAGCAGTTGACGTCCAAGGAGGTGGAGGGTGAATGGAGGTTGTAGCAGAGGGGTTAACAGAGAATACGTCTGCTGAACTGGCAGCAGCAGTTGAAGTCCAGGGAGGAGGAGCGCAGATGGAGGTTGTAGCAGAGGGGTTGACGGAGGGTATCTCTGCTGAACTGGCAGCAGTGGGAATCCAAGGAGGTGGAGGGTGAGTGGAGGGTTGTGTCTGCTGTTGATGGTAACCCTGGTTCGGATTCCACTGCTGGTTCGGATTCCACTGCTGGTTCGGGTTCCAGTGCTGGTTCGGATTCCAACGCTGGTTCGGATTCCAATGCTGGTTCGGATTCCAGGGCTGGTTCGGATTCCACTGCTGATCCGGATTCCAAGGCTGGTGTTGGTTTGAATAAGGTTGTTGCAGCTGATATTGATACTGGGTCTGGTACTGAGAGTGATTGTTCGGATGTTGGTGGTGCTGGGGCTGCTGCTGCTGCTGATGCTGCTGCTGCTGGTGCTGCTGCTGCTGCTGGTACGCTGAGTCGTGTGTCTGTTGTTGCTGAGCGTATGAGTACTGGGCCTGCTGCTCATACTGTGGATGCTGCTGCGGTTGCTGCTGCTCCTGAGCCTGCTGTGGATCATGATAGTGCTGCTGCTGCTGCTGCTGCTGCTGCTGCTGCTGCTGCTGCTGCTGCTGCTCTAGGTATTGCTGAGAGTAATGTTGGTGGTACGACCCTTGCGGGGGTGGCTCTCCTTGATAACCTTGGGAATACCGCGTCTGCACGCTACTATGGTCTCCTGGTAATCCCTCCATGAGTTTTGAAAACTCTTCCGTTGGTGATGCTGCCACGTCAGCTGGTCGTGCTTTACCAGGCTAGGGGATACTGCAACGGGGATAAATCCGCTTCGCCGCGTCTGAGGCAGGTTAGAAGCAGGCAATTGATAAGCCTCTTTAACCTGAGGCAGGTTAAACGAAGAGAACGGTCACAGGCCAGCACGGGTGCGGTCAAGCCTTTTTAAAGGCTATGCCAGATGCGTGATCACCGTGCCGTGAACCACAAAGGCAACACGAGTCGCCTCGTGGCATGAGTAAGAATGCTGAATTATGGTGGAATTGTCTTCTTCCGGGAATACTACTCGAATCGCCTTTTGTCGACGCAAATGCTCCACTCCAAGTGATCGCAACACTTCCGATTTGTTGCGGATTGGGAAAAGAACACCTTGCGAATCTTCACTTCCTGGTCGTCGATTCGCTATTCGAGAAGACAAGGATATGCGAGAATGGCGCGGCGAGAAACAGGCTAGTCGAAGAAAAGCAGGCAGGCCCGAAAAAAATCCCAGAATAGCGAAGCAGCCAGTGCACTAACAGCAGGAAGTTTAGGTTGTGAAGCCAAAAAGCAGTTTTGCCGACAGACGCTGAGGGGTTAGTGGTGGTGAGGAGGATTGTCAGAAATGAGTGGAAAGAACCGTTGTTCTCGTTAGTAGCTGCCCTGTGCTTGTGTCGCGAACGCGAATAGATTTTTCCAAACCCCCGTCAAGATGACAGATATTTCCCTGGTTTCTTGCCGTCCTTCTCATGCTCCTGGCCCAGCTGTGATTCTTGTTCCTTCAAGGGATGGCGCAAAGCACCAAAGTGGGGCTGTTTTGTTTTCTTGATGGGTGACGATATACGAGACGAGATTCCCAGCTGTCAGCGTAGGCACTGCGCGCGTTTGCGCTACGGAAGTGAAGCTCGAGAGCGAGTACGCATATGAGTAATTAGGAGCTTGGGTCTTCGTATTTATTTTTAGCTTCTGATTTGCAGCGCGTATGATTTGGTTTCATCAGGCGGAGTGAGGTATCCAGGCGAAGGGTCGTATAGTAGCACGAGAACCTAAGCGTAGATTCACCTGGACCGAGGCAGGCATCCATCTGTAGAGCAGAAGCCACATGCACCGCTAATATTGCTCCTCCCTGTTTCCAAAGCGGACGGTAGACGACAGTAGTGAAACTCGCTCCTACTAAGTCACGCGTCGCACCTAGAGCCTTGGCATCAGCACTCTCTCTTCTCCGCTCATGTCCGTCTCGAGAGCAGACCCTAGCCTCCCCTCCCCTTCCTGGTTCTCATACCTCGCGGCCGTGCCACCTCCACCGAGTCCGCGGGAGATTAAGGACTTCGTCTTTGGCGGTCGCGATTCCAATGAGTCGCTTGATCCGTACAGGAGGGAGGTTCGGGAAGGGCAGGTGCAATGGTGCCTGGCGGTGCTGCTGCTGGTGATCGCCTCCGTGTTGCTCGTCGTAATCCTTGTGGAGGAAGCCTCCGAGCAACCCACTGGGTCACAGATGCTCATAACACACTATGTAAGTATGAGCTTGCTGCTCTTTGTAGTGGTTTCGTTCATTCTTTTTCTTTGGGTTTCTTTGGAGAACATACTAGTTGCTTTTATTGTTCTTATTGCTATTGTTCTTTTCTTCTTTTTGATTCAGCCTGTGTGTGTTCATGCTGTCTTTCATGCCCCTTCTGTCAGCCCCTGCTTCCAAACTCGTCGGCCCCTGCATTAGCTAAGTGGCTTCCCCTCAACACCTCTGTTGGGGTAAACACGTCATCCAGTGTGCTACCAAATGCTGACATGAAGGAAAGTAATCATAGCTTAGACAACAGTACGGCTGGCGCATCAGACCGTGATGCACCTTGATCTTCGAATGTCAGCTTTATTAGAGGCCCAGAATGGTGCTAGTTTTATGCATCTCATATATTGTATTTGATCCAAATCCCTGACTCTCGTCAGGCATGTCTGATAGACAGAACGAAGAGATACGTCTACTAGTAAATCAGGGACAGGGGGGTTAGACATACATGAGAATACTAGCCTATGTAGGGCAAAACAAGTAACCAGGTCAAGGGGACTAGTTTAAGGCCTTCAGAAAGTTCCAGCTCTCTTCAAAATGAAGAAACCTGGCTCTTATGAACAAAAAACTTCATTGAACGCGCCGCGTCCGTTTGAAGCCTGCGGGTGGACAACAAGAAACAGATTCGTTGTGTTTCGTAAGGCCGTTTTAGCGAACATAGTGCAGAATAGAACTGCTGCTGGCCGCAGACGTATACACTGGTGGTGCACAAGGCATACACGTACCTTCACTCGTCGTCTGCGGGTTCAAGGCTCTCAATCTCGTCTTGATATCTCTTTTTATCGTCTTCCGCCATCTTCATGTATGGCTGCAAATTCATGACCAAAACGAGTAACGTCAGTCTGACGCTATTATGGAAAACCGTCACAAAACGAACTGATGTTAGAAGAAACGTCAGCCCCCACTACACGAGAGGTACTCAAAGGCAGAATTACCCACCCTCTTCTCTTTGTCGTCCAACTCCTTCCACTGAGCTCCCAGAATCTTCCCAAGCTCTCCAAAGGACACGTCTGGATTGTTGGCCTTCACAACTTCTCTTTGCTCTTTGCAGTAGAACATGTACGGAGCCAACGGCCGCTTCGGAGCATTCGGGTCCTTCTTCTTCTTCCCTCCCTTCTCTTTGCCCTTCGCTGCTTTCGGCATGACAGGCGAACCTCTGATGGAAGGCCCTTCAAATACCAACCGAACACTAAAAGACAAACTTCTCCCTAGCAAAACTGCTCAACAACAAAGAGAGATAGCAAAGAAAGCTGAGAACTGAAGCTCCGAAACCCCAATGAGAGAACCTTGGGTAGCCTGCTGACTACTTGAGGCTGGTTTCCGCTTGGCAAAACAGTCAGTTGCTCCAAGCTCCGCTCGCTTCCTCGCCCAGGCGGAGAGGCACGAATATTGCTGGGAGAATTGCCAGGCAATATTTGCCCGTGAATCTTCTGAGGCGAATTGGGAACGCTAGTGCAAATTCTGCTGGGAGACGCAATGCTCATGAAAGGCATCGGGCTCAAAAGCTGCCGTGAAATGCGCCGATTCTTGGGTTCCTCTATCAACCAATGATAGAGGTTCATTCATTCTGGCAGCCAATGAATGCTCTCCCCAGCCAATTTGGCTGCTGACTTCCCTCATGAGTGCTCACTAGGCGTGGTGTACCCCATCGACAAACAACCAGAAAACGTCGAGGCTAGGCTGCCCAGAGCAACCAGAAAAGTTTGCTCGGTGGGGAGTTGCTGCCCGGCTGCCTACTGTTACTGGTAGTCGCTGGGCGACTCCCTCCCCGAATGAAACGTGTCCGCGCAGAGAATAAAATGTATCTGACCGTTCAGTGGCTAATCCGAGGGCCGTTGTGTGTCAGGGGGAACGGAATCCCCGTCAATCACCCTACAGCCTGCCAATGAGAGCTGCTTGCTTCAGCACGGCGAGGCTCTGGCCTTGCGCGGCGTCACGAGCAACGACTACTTTCTAGTGGCGCACATGATAAACGTATGGCAACAAGACTATCTATATATTATTGCAAGACGGGAAAATACAATTATAAAAAACTGGAATGAATGCACACCTGAAAAAAACATAGAATATATTAAACAGTTTTTGAAAAATAATATATTAAATTGAATATATTAAATTCATTTATTCGAGGATACTAACATGTGTGTTGTGTTTTGAAGGACTCTTCCTTAATAGCATTTGAATCCGTGCAACAGTTCTTGCTTAGGAGATACACAACGCGCTGTAAGATGGAAGCTCGTAGCGGGGATCGCCGCGGGTCGACAGCAGACCCGGATCTCATCATCCTGCTTCGAGCTCAGTTCTGACATACCGCATAAGTCGATTCACTAATGGTTTCCTCCATTGCTTCCTCGGCTCCCCTTGCCATTCTGGCGTTAGGTTGAATCTAGTCATCATTGCTTCCTCGGCTCCCCTTGCCATTCTGGCGTTAGGTTGAATCTAGTCATCTCGGTGTCGCCGTTGCGGTTCCTCGGACATTGCGTTGCTCGTCTGACCTCGGTGTGTCATCGATCATTCTCTCTTTTCGCTACAGCACGCGCTGGTCACGACTCAGTCGAACCTTAGCAGTCGAACTAGCGTCTATTGCAAACTCGTTACAAGCGCAGCCGCCATATTCTGGCTGGGATTAGTCCAACGTTCGTTTCACCCGACAATAGCAGCCATCCCGTTCCGTTATTTCACGCAGGCTGGTCTGAATCTGGCTAGTGCCTAGTGCACAATGCCATGCTTAGCAGTCGCACCTTCGTAAGATAGCATTTTTAAGGCAAGCATTGCTTTCGTACGTACACACACTAACATCCACGACAAGAGCGGATGTTGTGTTACCCATTGCCTTCGAGCTTCATGTAAAAGGCATTACAGAACCTCCTCGTAGAAACCAGTATTCAACAGGCAGAAAAACTCCGTGCCGCTTGGGAGGGTGCTCTTACATTGTCCATTTCTCAGATCCTCAGCTCCCGTAGTTAGTGTAGTTATCGGTATTTCTCAATTACCGTATCTGCTGTACAAACTGAAGTTACTGTAGTTATCGCAGTTGTCGTTTCACCGAGTGTGTCCCAGGATGGCTCGGCCGGTGTTCGACTCCAAGTACCCGGCGAGCCACGTGCCACGTCAGCTGCAGGCGGCGCTGGTGGTGTCGGTGGTGGTGATGCTGGCCGTGCTCACCATGCACAACGCCAACATGACCGCGCGCTCGTACGCGATACAAGAAGACTTGAATCGAACCGCCGCGTTCGAGCAGCTGCTCGACCGACGCTTCCAGGAGATTTCTGTTCTGGTAATGGGGGATTGGGTGCTGGTGGTGTGGGGTTAGGTTTTGGTAATGCGGGATTGGGTGCTCGTAATCTCGGATTCCCTTCGCCACCCTGCATTGTTGTCTACAATTCCCCTATCTTCAAGGCGCCACCTCTCACCCTCTCCCAACCTCCAAATGCCTTCATTCCCCGTACTATCTCTCCTCGTCGCCCTCTCTCCCCTCCTCCCCCTTTTCCTCTTCTTTAATCCTTTCTTCCTTTTCCCTCTCTCCCCCTCTTCCTCTTCTTTAACCCTTTCTTCCTCTTCCCTCTCTCCCCCTCTTCCCCCACTCCTTCCACTCGTTCGTTCCAGGAGAACATTTCCATGGCCAGCACAGCGCACACAGAAGCCAATTTCGCGGCCCTCATTCCCCGTACCAATTCTCCGTTTCCCCTCCCTCCCCCACACCAGTTCCAGGAAAGCATAGCCAAGGCGAGCACAGCGCACGCGGACTCAGACCCCTCCGCGCTCTCCTCCGCCAACCCCACTCTCCTCCGCCAACCCCACTCTCCTCCGCCAACCCCACTCTCCTCCGCCAACCCCACTCTCCTCCGCCAATCCCCACTCACCCCCGCCAACCCCAACAGCATCCTCCGCCTGTCCCACAGGGGCCCTCGGCACCTGTGCACGTACACGGAGAGCGAGCTGCGCGCCATCCTCGCGCTGCGCCACTGCTGCGGGTGGAAGGAGGATTGCCCCCGGATAAAGGCTTCAAGATGCCGTTTCTTACCCCCTCCCCGTCTTCTTCCTCCTCCCTGTCTTCCCCCTCCTCTCCGCCTCCCCACCCCACCTCGTCCCCCACGCCAGTTCCAGGAGAGCATCGCCAAGGCCAGCACGGCGCATGCAGACTCCTCCGACCTCTCTCCACTCACCTCCGCCAACCCCAACAGCATAGTGCGCCTGTCCCACAGGGGCCCTCGGCATCTGTGCACGTACACGGAGAGCGAGCTGCGCGCCATCCTCGCGCTGCGCCACTGCTGCGGGTGGAAGGCGGATGTGGCCCCCAGATAGACGCTTCAAGGCGTCGTTTCTTACCCTCTCCCTGCCTTCCCCCTCCTCCCCCTCTCCCCCCGTTACTCCCCCATGTCAGTTCCAGGAGAGCATAGCCAAGGCCAGCACAGCACACACAGAGTCCGATCCCTTGGCTTTCTCTTCAGCCAACCCCAACAGCATAGTGCGCCTGTCCCACAGGGGCCCTCGGCGCCTGTGCACGTACACGGAGAGCGAGCTGCGCGCCATCCTCGCACTGCGCCACTGCTGCGGGTGGAAGTGCAACCGGTACTTCTACGGGGGCGCGTGGATCGACTGGAAGACGCTGGATGAGGAGTTTCAGAAGGGGCATGCGCGGGTGAGAGAGGAGGAGGAGGCGGAGTGCGTGCTGGCGTGCAAGCAGCATGAGAACCTGGGGTGCAGCAAGGAGCAGCCTTGCGTGAACGGGTACTACCTGCGCAGGAACACCACTGGTGAGATATAGTTTCTTTAGGGGGGTTGGGAAGGGTTGTCCCTGTTGGGTGCTTGTTTTCTGCTTTGAAGGGGTTGCTTGGATCGACTGGAAGATGCTGGATGAGGAGTTTCAGAAGGGGCATGCGCGGGTGAGAGAGGAGGAGGAGGCGGAGTGCGTGCTGGCGTGCAAGCAGCATGGGAACCTGGGGTGCAGCAAGGAGCAGCCGTGCGTTAATGGGTACTACCTGCGCAGGAACAACACTGGTAAGATGTTTCCCGGCTCCTGATTCCTGTTTGAGTAATTTAGTAGGCCGGATTGAGTTCTCAGGTTTGAGTAATTCCTGAATCTAATTGGAGAACCATGAGAACCTGGGGTGCAGCAATGAGCAGCCGTGCGCGAATGGGTACTACCCTCTGCCACCGCCCATCCTCTGCTTCCACTCACACACACGTTGGTGGTGCGGCAGGCGCACGAGTGGGGCGAGCAAAACTTCCTCAAGCCGCACATTTACTTTTACTTCCACTTAGGTGGCACGCCCCTGTCTCGCACTCTTAAGTCGACTCAAAAGAAACTTCCTCAAGCCGCACATTTACTTTTACTTCCACTTAGGTGGCACGCCCCTGTCTCGCACTCTTGAGTCGACTCAAAAGGTGACTTTTGAGTCGACTCAAAAGAAACTTCCTCAAGCCGCACATTTACTTTTACTTCCACTTAGGTGGCACGCCCCTGTCTCGCACTCACTTCATCATTATACATACCCTGCCTGTCCGTGTGTGTTACCCTCCCTGCATCAGACACGCTGGTGGTGCGGCAGGCGTATGAGTGGGGCGAGCAGAACTTCCTCAAGCCGCACTTTCACTTTGACTCCATCCTTGACGCTGGAGCCAACATCGGCCTCACCTCCGTGCTCTTCGCCACCATGTGAGTGTATGTCTTCTCCAGACTCGTGTAAGTTTCCATGAACGATCTTTCCCTTGATGCCGGGGCCAACATCGGCCTCACCTCCGTGCTCTTTGCCACCATGTGAGTGTCTCTCTTTTTCTACCCATGTGTTGATGAGTTTGACCTTCAACCTGATCCAGAGTTGCACTTCAGCTCTTCACCATGAGACTACTTTTCCCTCAAACCCCCTGTACTTTCCCCCTCACCAATAAACCAGATTTCAAAAGCTTAGACCTTCAGCCCGAACACCCAAAGCCAAACCCCTGGTAACTCCATAAGGTACCTCAAGCAACAATCATTCGCAAATTTCGCTTATCCAAGCTTAACACATAGCCCTTTCTCGACACCATTGCTTAAACCTCCCTGAACCCGAAAACACGAACCTTAAGCTCAAAACTTAGACTGCCGCTGCTCCCACCCCCAGGTACCCCAAGGCAACAATCATCAGTGTGGAAGCGTCCTGTCACAGCCCTTCCCCAACGGCATGCCCCTTTGATTGCTGAACTCGAAACCCTGAACCCTGAACCTTCAAACTTAAGCTTCAAACTCTCTCCTCCTCTGATCCCCCCCATCAGGTACCCCAAGGCGACGATTATAAGTGTGGAGGAGTCGTCTCGCAACTTCCGCTCACTGAAGCTCAACACACAGCCCTTCCCCAACGTCATTGCTGTCAACACCGCCCTGTGGCCCCGCGTCGCCTCCCTCTCACTAACCCTCGGGCAGAGGAACCCCGAGAGTGAACGTTGTACTCTAAACCCTAAACCTTCACTCCTCAATCCCCCCATCAGGTACCCCAAGGCAACGATCATCAGTGTGGAGGCGTCTTCTCGCAACTTCCGCTCACTGAAGCTCAACACACAGCCCTTCCCCAACGTCATTGCTGTCAACGCTGCTCTGTGGCCCCGTGTGGCCTCCCTCTCGCTCACCCTCGGGCAGAGGAACCCCGAGCTGCCGCCCGAATGGGCCTTCATGGTCAAAGAAACACGTGATGTGAGTCGCATGCTTCTCTTAGGAACATTCTTGGTGGCTGTAGTGTGTGAGTGGCATTGCTGATGGCATCACTGGCTGTAGCATGTGTGGGGCACATGGTTGGCTGTACCATGTGAGTCGCACCCCTCTCCTTCCCTCTCGGGTAGGGCGCAGGAGCCCTGAGCCGCCGTCCATGTAGGCCCTCATGATCAAGATGGGTCCTTTCTTTGCAAATTCCCTTTGGTTCATTGCATGCATAGTACCCTCCTCTCCTCTCTATGTTCCCAAGAGAATGCCAAGTTGATGTTTTTTTCTTTCTCCCTCGTCTTCTTCTGCCTGCTCTTCTCCACCCTCCAGCTCGAGCCATTCCAGGGTGTAGACAACCCCCTTAACGGCCAAGCGGGTTCATAAAGCCATCTGCTGATGCCATTTTCCATTACTCTTGCCATCTCTGCATCTTCTTCCCCACCCTCCAGCTCGAGCCCGGGCAGGTTGTGGAGGACTCCCTTGTCAGCCAAGGAAATAAAGCATGTTCATCCCCACCTTCTGATAATAACGTTTCCTTTCCTCTCCCTATCTCTGCACGATCGTCCCCGCCCTCCAGCTCGAGCCCGGGCAGGTTGTGGAGGACTCCCTTCTCGGCGTGACCGTGCCCTTCCTCCTGAAAGTTTTCGGGCTGCCCGGATTCGACTTCCTCAAGATCGACGTCGAGGGCAGCGAGGGCGAGATTTTCCGCGAGGACAGGGAGATGGACCTGGGGTGGGTGAACGAGTCAAAGCTGGCAGCGCTGGAGCTGCATGGAGACATGGTGCCGGGATCGAATGTGACTGTACTGAATTTCTTCCACAGCCGCAGCAATTTTCATCATAAGAAGGATTGGTCGGGAGAGTACGAGGTGTTCATGCGTAACGACGCTGATTTGTCGTAGTTAGTGAATGTGTGTGTAGTACCAGTGGTAACATCCTCGTTAGTATGCTTTTTGCGAGGACAGGGAGATGGACCTGGGGTGGGTGAACGAGTCGAAGCTGGCAGCACTGGAGCTTCATGGAGACATGGTGCCGGGATCGAATGTGACTGTACTGAATTTCTTCCACAGCCGCAGCAATTTTCATCACAAGAAGGACTGGTCAGGGGAGTACGAGGTGTTCATGCGTAACGACGCTGATTTGTCATAGTGAATGTGCCTACAGTACCTCTTTTGTATGCTTTTCGTGAGGACAGGGAGATGGACCTGGGGTGGGTGAACGAGTCAAAGCTGGCAGCACTGGAGCTGCATGGAGACATGGTGACGGGGTCGAATGTGACTCTACTGAACTTCTTCAACAGCCGCAGCAACTTCCACCACAAGAAGGATTGGCCGGGAGAGTACGAGGTGTTTATGCGTAACGATGCGAATCTGTTGTAGTTAAGAGATGGTATGGTACGGTACGGTATGCTAGTATTCTTGTCTCACAGACAGCATGTGAGAGGATAATCATGAGTGCAATACTTTTCCACGAGGACAGGGAGATGGATCTGGGGTGGGTAAACAAGTCAAAGCTGGCAGCTCTGGGAGGGGGTGGGGGGGTTTCTTGAAGTTCTATTCCTTCACAACAAAGGTAAACTTTTGCCGTCAATTTCCTACTTCCAGCCCCTAAACCCCATGACGACAACTTGACAAGGCAATTACAATCAACTTTACAAAATCACTTGCAAACGTACATCCGGTTAATCCCTAAACATGTCAGTATCTTCAGCTACCTACCTCCCCTCCCACCACTCCATTGATGAAACTCACTCGTACTCCCAGCAGAAGTATTCTCATCACATCACATCTCCCATACAGTATTTACAAAGACAAAGATACCAATTACAGTGCTGGCCGTGCTCCTCAGCTTGCACTGATTAGTACATGAATTGTTTTTAAAATTCGACATTATGGGGGTTCAGGAATGATGACAACTTTCATGCCTCTCCTGCAGTCGTTGCCAACGCTGCTGGTGTACCCGAGAGGGCCCCTCACGGTTATCGTGGCCGAGCCTTGCTTCGAGGCCTTGGAGAACACACGGATGGGAGGGAGAGCTTTTCCAAAGTAGCAGAACACAAAGCGATTGGGGTCCACGCCCACCACATCGTGCTCGTGCTCGGAGTCGTTCCACTTGAACACTGGGTTGGGGGAGATAACAATCATGGGAGGGCCAGCTGTCCCAAAGTAGCAGAAGGTGAAGCGACCCTGGTCCACGCCCACCACATCGTGCTCGTGCTCTGAATTATTCCACTCGAACACTGGGTTGGGGGGAAGGCAAGCGCAAGAATAGGAGAGCATGTTTCAAGTCAACTCAAAACACATGGTGTAGCAATTCGGATCCACGCCCACCACATCGTGCTCGTGCTCAGAGTCATTCCACTTGAACACTGGGTTGAAGGAGATATGAAGCAAAGTGCAAGAGCGAGAGAGGGAAAGGGTGTTTTGAGTCATGGACGGGCCATTACTTCCAAAGTAGCAGACGAGGAAGCGATTCGGATCCACGGCCACCACATCGTGCTCCTGCGAGTCATTCCACGAACACTGGGTTGGGGGAAGGCAAGCGTAAGAATGGGAGAGCGTGTTTCAAGTCAACTCAAAACACGTGGTGAAGTGATTGGGTTCCACGCCCACCACATCGTGCTCGTGAGAGTCATTCCACTTGAACACTGAGTAGGGGGAAGAGCACAGCACTCGCAAGAGCAAGGGTGGGAGAGGAAAAGCATGTTATGAGTTGACTCAACACACATGGAGTTGCAATACAAGTCAATGCCCACCAGACTGTGCTCGTGTCTCTAGTCGTTCCCACTTGAACACTGGATTGGAGGGAAGCAAGAGTGAGCGCGAGTGAGAGTGCGAGTGCGAGAGAGGGAGAGAATGTTTGAGAGAATGTTTGAGAGAATGTTTGAGAGAATGTTTGAGAGAATGTTTGAGAGAATGTTTGAGAGAATGTTTGAGAGAATGTTTGAGAGAATGTTTGAGAGAATGTTTGAGAGAATGTTTGAGAGAATGTTTGAGAGAATGTTTGAGAGAATGTTTGAGAGAATGTTTGAGAGAATGTTTGAGAGAATGTTTGAGAGAATGTTTGAGAGAATGTTTGAGAGAATGTTTGAGAGAATGTTTGAGAGAATGTTTGAGAGAATGTTTGAGAGAATGTTTGAGAGAATGTTTGAGAGAATGTTTGAGAGAATGTTTGAGAGAATGTTTGAGAGAATGTTTGAGAGAATGTTTGAGAGAATGTTTGAGAGAATGTTTGAGAGAATGTTTGAGAGAATGTTTGAGAGAATGTTTGAGAGAATGTTTGAGAGAATGTTTGAGAGAATGTTTGAGAGAATGTTTGAGAGAATGTTTGAGAGAATGTTTGAGAGAATGTTTGAGAGAATGTTTGAGAGAATGTTTGAGAGAATGTTTGAGAGAATGTTTGAGAGAATGTTTGAGAGAATGTTTGAGAGAATGTTTGAGAGAATGTTTGAGAGAATGTTTGAGAGAATGTTTGAGAGAATGTTTGAGAGAATGTTTGAGAGAATGTTTGAGAGAATGTTTGAGAGAATGTTTGAGAGAATGTTTGAGAGAATGTTTGAGAGAATGTTTGAGAGAATGTTTGAGAGAATGTTTGAGAGAATGTTTGAGAGAATGTTTGAGAGAATGTTTGAGAGAATGTTTGAGAGAATGTTTGAGAGAATGTTTGAGAGAATGTTTGAGAGAATGTTTGAGAGAATGTTTGAGAGAATGTTTGAGAGAATGTTTGAGAGAATGTTTGAGAGAATGTTTGAGAGAATGTTTGAGAGAATGTTTGAGAGAATGTTTGAGAGAATGTTTGAGAGAATGTTTGAGAGAATGTTTGAGAGAATGTTTGAGAGAATGTTTGAGAGAATGTTTGAGAGAATGTTTGAGAGAATGTTTGAGAGAATGTTTGAGAGAATGTTTGAGAGAATGTTTGAGAGAATGTTTGAGAGAATGTTTTGAGCTCCAACTACAAACACGTGGTGAAGCGATACAAGTCATGCTCACCACGTTGTGCGCAGGGTGAGCAGGAGAAAAGAGTAGAGGGTTTGGGTGTGAGTGAAGAGGAGGAGACAGCAAAAAAGCAGGAACAACTGACCAAGCACGTCGCCAAAGTTAACAAGGGGGGGCTGCCACGTGCGCACTTCGGGGCTCCAGCCGGAATCCTCCCCCCCCACCACCACCGTCTTGGTGTCCTGGCAGAGGGGTGTGGTGTGGGGGGGAGGGGGGGAGGAGAGGCAGTGGTGGTGGGGGAAGAGAGAGCACAGACGAGGGGACGAGCGTGTGATGACTCAAAAGTGACTCCAGCGGAAATTATTCCACCCCACCACCACCGTCTTGGTGTCCTGGCAGCACACGAAGGGTAAGCGCACACATAAGGAGAACGGGCGCACAGATGATGACTCTGGAGTCGACTCAAAGGGAGTCGAGCGGGAGTACATCCACCCCAGCAGCACCGATTTTTGGCGTCCTGGCAGCACAGAAGAGAGGGAAAGTGGGGAGAGACGGGGGTAAGCGCACACATGGGGGGAAGAGTCAATTCGAACGTGGATGGTGCAAAAGGATTCAAGAAACTGAATGCAGAAGGGCTTGGTGCGGTTGAGCTGGCGTTTGAAGGTTCACAAATGAGCGCAGCATGGCACAATTGAAGCAGAGCTTACCACAAGATTGGCAAGTAGTAGGGCAGCTGGGGTGGCGCATAGGGTTGAGAGACAGAGCTTACCGCAAGAGCAGCAGTGCGGATGGTCGTCCACGGAGTGTCCAGCGAGCCTGCAGCCGCACAGCACCGCACAGCACCACGCAGCAGAGAACCGCACAGAACAGCACAGCACAGCGGATCAGAGCAGAGCAAAGCGCACATGACGGCACGAGATCATTACTGATACGTGCGGCCACTGCGAGAGATCATTCCACTCCCCCGCGCCGAGGAGAGAAGCAGCAGCAAGGTGCTGCAGCAGAAGAAGCAGGGGGAGGCAGACCGCCGGCATGCACTTACCCGCAAGAAGAAGCAGCAGTAGCAGCAGCAGGCAAATGGGGCTCCCGTTGACGAACGCCATTGCAAATTTCCCGAGCTCCGCAATTAGATCAACTTACGGCGGAGAGAACACTGCTACTGCTACTACTCTGTGCCAATAGTAGATGAGAACTCGAGAGAGAAAGAGAAGGGGGTTTAGGAGAGAAAAGGTGCCTGTGTGGCCAGATTGTTGCTTGAGCGCCTTTCATAGTGGCCGGGCCGCACTGCAACGCCGTGACTGCGAAACGCTGCCAAAAGCTGCCAAACGCGACACGCCGGTGTCGCCCCGTTTGTGGCCATGATTTCGTATCTCCGCGCTTACGAAACGAAGCTCACGGGCTGGTGTAACAGGACGAGATTCACCATTCGGTATGCATGGGATTCTTCGAACTGGTCGTTGCCTAACTAGCTCCGAACAGCCTCTACTCTCGTGCTAAGCTAGCTACCGTACCACACCTTTGACCTCGACTTGTACTTCGATTTGAGCTAGCTGTTCGGAGCTAGCTAGGTGTGGTATGTGTCATACCGCAAACTGCACAGGTACAATCTGCTCGTTATGGAAACACGCACTTAGATAATAACGTCATTATTGGGGTAGCGTATGGTATTATTCTTTCAAGACTGCATGGAGGCAAGTGCCAGTACGCGATTTTGGACGCTTGTGCATGTCTTCCAAACATCATCAGAATACTTGCCTTGAAAATAATTCCTGCAACACTGTTCACGCTAGAATATGTTCATGAACTATAACCATCGAACTGGCATGCAAATTCCATCCCCTTGTGACAAGACCCCATACTCCCCGCAACACCTTGACTTGTGACCTCATTCTTGAGTTTATCCAACACTCCCAAGAATGCCCCCCTCGCGCATGCAGGCTGCTCTCTCACCCCCATCACCGCAGCACCACTAACCAGCACCACCATCCAGCACTCTTATCCTCGTTACAAGCCCTCTGCTACAAGCCATTATCTGCCTCACAGCACCTTGGCCTCGTTTTTAAGCTTTTCCAACAGCTCGTCCACACTTCCAAGGATGCGCCCCCCCACACGTGCAGGCGGCTCTCTCACCCCCACCACCTGCACCCTGCGGGTGGCCGGGTCTGCTAGGTCGACCCCAAAGTCGGAAGGAGAGAGTACAGCAATGGGTTTCTTCTTGGCTTTCATTATGTTGGGGAGCGTGGCGTATCGTGGCTCGTTCAACCGTAGGTCGGTGCTGGGGGAAGGGGGGAAGGGGGAGAGGGGAGGAAGGGGGGCAGGTGAATTAGAATCATGCTGATGGGTTTCTTCTTGGCCTCCATGATGTTGGGGAGCGTGGCGTAGCGTGGCTCGTTCAACCGTAGGTCGGTACTGTGGAGGACAAGTTTCAGGGGGTAGGGGAGACGGGAGGAAGGGAAGCAGGTGAGTTAGAAGGGTGCTGATGGGTTTCTTCTTTGCCTTCATGATGTTGGGCAGTGTGGCATACCGTGGCTCGTTGAGCCGTAGGTCCGTGCTGGAGTGTAGGGGAAGGGGAGGGGAGAGGGGGAAATGCTGATGGGTCTCTTCTTGGCCTTCATGATGTTGGGAAGGGTGGCATAGCGTGGTTCGTTCAGCCGTAGATCCGTGCTGGTGGAAACAAGGGAGGTGGGGAAGGGGTGAGAGGGGAGAGGGGGCCGGGTGAGTTGAAAGGATGCTCATGGGTTTCTTCTTTGCCTTCATGATGTTGGGCAGTGTGGCGTAACTGTGGCTCGTTCAGCCGTAGGTCTGTGCTGGGGGGGGAAGAGGAGAGGGGAAAAGAGGGGAGGAGGAAAGCAGCAAGAGAGTGGGACAGGTGACTTAGGAGGTGCTGACGCGCCTCCCTCCCTCACCCCCACCACGTGCACCCTGCGGGTGGCACGGACTGCAGTGCACCACTGACAAACAGGCCAGTCCTCTCCCATCTCTTTTTGAACATTAGTCCAGAGATCACTTTTGAGAAAAATAAGCAGCCCAGAGGTCAACAAAAAGAAGTCTCTCCGAATCATGTTTGGGAATCGAGCTGACATGTTTTTAACCCTAAGAGTCCCTGCAATGCACCACTCACGTGATGACAGCTGGCAGCTTGAGGTTGACTGTCTCAAGGCCATCATCAATCTCCCGCGTGACCTGCGCACTGCGAGTAGCCGCGTCCAGCACCACCTGTGTTGTGGTGAGCGGTGGACGGGGGGCAAAAGGGGGAGGATAAGCAGGGGCAGGAAGCGGCGAGAAGGGTGACTTCACCCCGTCGTCAATCTCCCTGGTGACCTGTGCACTGCGAGCGCCGCGTCCAGATCCACCTGTGTTGTGGGGCGAAGGGCGAGCAGGGGGAGGAAGGGGCGAGGGCGAGGAGGCAATGGGAGATACGGGTGTCATAACCCCGTCGTCAATCTCCCGGGTGACCTGCGCACTGCGCGCAGGTACGTCCAGCACCACCTGTTGCGGTGAGCAGGCAAGCAGGCGAGCAGGGGCGAGGGGCAGTAGGAAGGGGCGAAAATGCATCTCATTCCAACTCCATTGTGATGTCAATCTGCCATGTGACCGGAGCACTGTGCTGTGAACACAACACATCCCTTGGTTAGACAAGTGTGAGTTGGGGGTGTACCTTGCAAGCAAATGTGGCTTTCCAGTTGGCTCAAGAGCCACGACGCGAAGTGAGAGCTTTTCGCTCAAACGCATTGCGTTTGCTCATAGTGAAAGGGCTGCTGCACGCTGCAGTGTTTGAAGCAAGCACTTGAGCAAGCAGGATCAACAGCGCTAAAAGCTTGGCTAGTTGAGTAGAGTGAGCTTCCGAGGTACCTTGGAGGCGAAGGTGGCTTGCGGCCAGTCCAGCAGCGCTGCGAGCATCTGCCCTGTCTTAGAAAGACACAGGGGGAGCATGCATGTGCTTACGGTACCCATGTGTGCAGTCAGCATGTGCAGTCAGCATGTGCAGTCAGCATGTGCAGTCAGCATGTGCAGTCAGCATGTGCAGTCAGCATGTGCAGTCAGCATGTGAGGTCAGCATGTGCAGTCAGCATGTGCAGTCAGCATGTGCAGTCAGCATGTGAGGTCAGCATGTGCAGTCAGCATGTGAGGTCAGCATGTGCAGTCAGCATGTGCAGTCAGCATGTGCAGTCAGCATGTGCAGTCAGCATGTGAGGTCAGCATGTGCAGTCAGCATGTGAGGTCAGCATGTGCAGTCAGCATGTGCAGTCAGCATGTGCAGTCAGCATGTGCAGTCAGCATGTGCAGTCAGCATGTGCAGTCAGCATGTGCAGTCAGCGTGCAACCGGTACATTGGAGAGAGTTTGGGAGTACCTTGGAGGCGAAGGTGGCTTGCGGCCAGTCCAGCAGCGCTGCGAGCATCTGCCCCGTCTGATTGCAATCATCGTCTATCGCCTGCATCAGCGTGAGAGGATGGGGAGGGGAGGGAGACGAGCGAGGTGAGAGGGACGTAAAGAGTGGAGCGGGTGTTTGAAGAAGTGTTTTGAGACGTCTCGTGTTTGAAGAAGTGTTTTGAGACGTCTCGTGTTTGAAGAAGTGTTTTGAGACGTCTCGTGTTTGAAGAAGTGTTTTGAGACGTCTCGTGTTTGAAGAAGTGTTTTGAGACGTCTCGTGTTTGAAGAAGTGTTTAGAGACGTCTCGTGTTTGAAGAAGTGTTTAGAGACGTCTCGTGTTTGAAGAAGTGTTTTGAGACGTCTCGTGTTTGAAGAAGTGTTTTGAGACGTCTCGTGTTTGAAGAAGTGTTTTGAGACGTCTCGTGTTTGAAGAAGTGTTTTGAGACGTCTCGTGTTTGAAGAAGTGTTTTGAGACGTCTCGTGTTTGAAGAAGTGTTTTGAGACGTCTCGTGTTTGAAGAAGTGTTTTGAGACGTCTCGTGTTTGAAGAAGTGTTTTGAGACGTCTCGTGTTTGAAGAAGTGTTTTGAGACGTCTCGTGTTTGAAGAAGTGTTTTGAGACGTCTCGTGTTTGAAGAAGTGTTTTGAGACGTCTCGTGTTTGAAGAAGTGTTTTGAGACGTCTCGTGTTTGAAGAAGTGTTTTGAGACGTCTCGTGTTTGAAGAAGTGTTTTGAGACGTCTCGTGTTTGAAGAAGTGTTTTGAGACGTCTCGTGTTTGAAGAAGTGTTTTGAGACGTCTCGTGTTTGAAGAAGTGTTTTGAGACGTCTCGTGTTTGAAGAAGTGTTTTGAGACGTCTCGTGTTTGAAGAAGTGTTTTGAGACGTCTCGTGTTTGAAGAAGTGTTTTGAGACGTCTCGTGTTTGAAGAAGTGTTTTGAGACGTCTCGTGTTTGAAGAAGTGTTTTGAGACGTCTCGTGTTTGAAGAAGTGTTTTGAGACGTCTCAAAACACTTCTTCAAACACGAGACGTCTCAAAACACTTCTTCAAACAGGTGAGAGGGACGTAAAGAGTGGAGCGGACTAGTGCGGTAAGAAGGGGCCAGTCCTGCAGCGCTGCCAGCATCTGCCCCGTCTGATTGCAATCATCGTCTATCGCCTGGGTGAGGGGAGAGGAGAGGCGGGGGATGAAAGGGGGGAGAAGGGGAGGTGAGGTGGTTACAAGGTGGAGAGGGAGGGTATAATAGCTGCCAGCATCTGCCCCGTCTGATTGCAATCATCGTCTATCGCCTGGGTGAGGGGAGAGGAGAGGCGGGGGATGAAAGGGGGGAGAAGGGGAGGTGAGGTGGTTACAAGGTGGAGAGGGAGGGTATAATAGCTGCCAGCATCTGCCCCGTCTGATTGCAATCATCGTCTATTGTCTGGCGAGGGGGGGAGGGGAGGGGTAGGGGGAAGGGTTGAGACGAGTGGGTTGGGAGGGATGGGACGAGTGGAGAGGAGGAGTGGTATAGAAGGTGGGAGAGTAGCAGCGCTGCCAGCATGTGCCCCGTCTGGTTGCAGTGGTCGTCTATTGCCTGGTGAGGGAAGAGGAGGGTGTAAGTCGAAATTCGCCTCCGGCTACTAACTATTCTGTTCTCCGTGATCACACATCTCCAACAATGTGCTTTGAGTCGACTCTTCACACGTCTCCAGCACCAGCAGCACCAGCAGCACCAGCAGCACCAGCAGCACCAGCAGCACCAGCAGCACCAGCAGCACCAGCAGCACCAGCAGCACCAGCAGCACCAGCAGCGCCAGCAGCACCAGCAGCGCCAGCAGCACCAGCAGCACCAGCAGCACCAGCAGCAGCAACCAGGTCAGCTGTCTCTTTCAAAACAACCCCCTTTAGCACCTCATCACTTGAACCAGCATCACTGCCATTACCAGCGGTAGCACCCCGCTCACCTGCTTGCCCAGGAACACCATATCATCCTTGATATGGTGATTAAGTTCGTTCTGCACTGCACAGCCCCCTTGAGCAGCTTAACCACCACCACCAGAGGCTCCAACGCCTGTGACTGTCAGTCCCTACTATCACCAGCACCACCAGCACTGACACTCCTCCTCACCTGCTTCCCCAGGAACACCATATCGGCTGTTTCCTTCTGCACCATCCCCTTGAGCAGCTTCGACACCACCAGAGGTTCCAACGCCTCCTCCTGTGCAAGCTCGCTCACCCCCTAAGTAGCATCACACCAATACCAGCAGTACCAACCACCTCACCTGCTTGCCCAGGAACACCATATCGGCTGTCTCCCTCTGCACAACCCCTTTCAGCAGCTTCGCCACCACCAACGGCTCCAACGCCTCCTCCTGTGCCGCATCCACCTTCACCAGTACCGACCTGTCCGCTCCCATTGCTAAAGCGGTTCTGCAATCCGTGGGCATAGGAGGGGTAGGGTGAGTGAGGGATGAGAGGCAGGGTTGCAACGCCTCCTCCTGTGCCGCATCCACCTTCACCAGTACCGCCCTGTCTGCTCCCATTGCTAGAGCGGTTCTGCACACACCAGAAGAAACCGTGGGGATGGAGGGTGGAGCACGTGGGGGGGGGGGTGGGGGAACGCTTCAACGCCTCCTCCTGTGCCGCATCCACCTTCACCAGTACCGCCCTGTCCGCTCCCATTGCCAGGGCGGTTCTGAAGAGAAGCACGGGAGAAGCAGTGGGGTGGGAAAGTTGAACAGGTGGGGGGGGGAGAGCGTGCAACGCCTCCTCCTGTGCCGCATCCACCTTCACCGGCACTGCCCTGTCCGCCCCCATGGCTAGAGCGGTTCTGAAGAGAAGCACGGGGAGGGCAATAGCGAGGAAGGGGGAACAGGGAAGGGGTGAGGGTGGCAGAAGGCAGAGCACAAGGCCATGATGCTGCTGATTAGTAGACCTTTTTCGTTTCGAACCCAACGAATTTCAACCGTGAGGGTGGCAGAAGGCAGAGCACAAGGCCAGGGTTCGAGCGCCTCCTCCTGTGCTGCATCCACCTTCACCAGTACCGCCCTGTCCGCCCCCATGGCTAGAGCGGTTCTGCATACAAGAGCAGAAGCAATGAACGGTGAAGATGTAGAATAGGACATCCTCACCGTTCATTGCTTCCCACGACAGGTGGGAGGGGAGGAAGATCCAATGACCGGGGGGCAGAGCAGAAGGCGAGGGTAGAGGGGGGCAGGGCAGAAGGAGAGAGCGTGCTTCGACGGTGTTGCTCATGGCAGAGCGATGTGCCATTCCAGCGTGTTTCAGAAGGCACAGCGTGTTTCAGAAGGCACAGCGTGTTTCAGAAGGCACAGCGTGTTTCAGAAGGCACAGCGTGTTTCAGAAGGCACAGCGTGTTTCAGAAGGCACAGCGTGTTCCAGAAGGCACAGCGTGTTCCAGAAGGCACAGCGTGTTCCAGAAGGCACAGCGTGTTCCAGAAGGCACAGCGTGTTCCAGAAGGCACAGCGTGTTCCAGAAGGCACAGCGTGTTCCAGAAGGCACAGCGTGTTTCAGAAGGCACAGCGTGTTTCAGAAGGCACAGCGTGTTTCAGAAGGCACAGCGTGTTTCAGAAGGCACAGCGTGTTTCAGAAGGCACAGCGTGTTTCAGAAGGCACAGCGTGTTTCAGAAGGCACAGCGTGTTCCAGAAGGCACAGCGTGTTCCAGAAGGCACAGCGTGTTCCAGAAGGCACAGCGTGTTTCAGAAGGCACAGCGTGTTTCAGAAGGCACAGCGTGTTTCAGAAGGCACAGCGTGTTTCAGAAGGCACAGCGTGTTTCAGAAGGCACAGCGTGTTCCAGAAGGCACAGCGTGTTTCAGAAGGCACAGCGTGTTCCAGAAGGCACAGCGTGTTCCAGAAGGCACAGCGTGTTCCAGAAGGCACAGCGTGTTCCAGAAGGCACAGCGTGTTCCAGAAGGCACAGCGTGTTCCAGAAGGCACAGCGTGTTTCAGAAGGCACAGCGTGTTTCAGAAGGCACAGCGTGTTCCAGAAGGCACAGCGTGTTCCAGAAGGCACAGCGTGTTCCAGAAGGCACAGCGTGTTTCAGAAGGCACAGCGTGTTTCAGAAGGCACAGCGTGTTTCAGAAGGCACAGCGTGTTTCAGAAGGCACAGCGTGTTTCAGAAGGCACAGCGTGTTCCAGAAGGCACAGCGTGTTTCAGAAGGCACAGCGTGTTTCAGAAGGCACAGCGTGTTCCAGAAGGCACAGCGTGTTCCAGAAGGCACAGCGTGTTTCAGAAGGCACAGCGTGTTTCAGAAGGCACAGCGTGTTTCAGAAGGCACAGCGTGTTTCAGAAGGCACAGCGTGTTCCAGAAGGCACAGCGTGTTCCAGAAGGCACAGCGTGTTCCAGAAGGCACAGCGTGTTTCAGAAGGCACAGCGTGTTTCAGAAGGCACAGCGTGTTCCAGAAGGCACAGCGTGTTTCAGAAGGCACAGCGTGTTCCAGAAGGCACAGCGTGTTCCAGAAGGCACAGCGTGTTTCAGAAGGCACAGCGTGTTCCAGAAGGCACAGCGTGTTTCAGAAGGCACAGCGTGTTTCAGAAGGCACAGCGTGTTCCAGAAGGCACAGCGTGTTCCAGAAGGCACAGCGTGTTTCAGAAGGCACAGCGTGTTTCAGAAGGCACAGCGTGTTTCAGAAGGCACAGCGTGTTTCAGAAGGCACAGCGTGTTTCAGAAGGCACAGCGTGTTCCAGAAGGCACAGCGTGTTTCAGAAGGCACAGCGTGTTTCAGAAGGCACAGCGTGTTCCAGAAGGCACAGCGTGTTCCAGAAGGCACAGCGTGTTCCAGAAGGCACAGCGTGTTTCAGAAGGCACAGCGTGTTCCAGAAGGCACAGCGTGTTCCAGAAGGCACAGCGTGTTTCAGAAGGCACAGCGTGTTCCAGAAGGCACAGCGTGTTTCAGAAGGCACAGCGTGTTCCAGAAGGCACAGCGTGTTTCAGAAGGCACAGCGTGTTCCAGAAGGCACAGCGTGTTCCAGAAGGCACAGCGTGTTTCAGAAGGCACAGCGTGTTCCAGAAGGCACAGCGTGTTTCAGAAGGCACAGCGTGTTCCAGAAGGCACAGCGTGTTCCAGAAGGCACAGCGTGTTCCAGAAGGCACAGCGTGTTTCAGAAGGCACAGCGTGTTCCAGAAGGCACAGCGTGTTTCAGAAGGCACAGCGTGTTTCAGAAGGCACAGCGTGTTTCAGAAGGCACAGCGTGTTTCAGAAGGCACAGCGTGTTTCAGAAGGCACAGCGTGTTTCAGAAGGCACAGCGTGTTTCAGAAGGCACAGCGTGTTTCAGAAGGCACAGCGTGTTCCAGAAGGCACAGCGTGTTTCAGAAGGCACAGCGTGTTTCAGAAGGCACAGCGTGTTCCAGAAGGCACAGCGTGTTTCAGAAGGCACAGCGTGTTCCAGAAGGCACAGCGTGTTTCAGAAGGCACAGCGTGTTCCAGAAGGCACAGCGTGTTCCAGAAGGCACAGCGTGTTCCAGAAGGCACAGCGTGTTTCAGAAGGCACAGCGTGTTCCAGAAGGCACAGCGTGTTTCAGAAGGCACAGCGTGTTTCAGAAGGCACAGCGTGTTCCAGAAGGCACAGCGTGTTTCAGAAGGCACAGCGTGTTTCAGAAGGCACAGCGTGTTCCAGAAGGCACAGCGTGTTTCAGAAGGCACAGCGTGTTCCAGAAGGCACAGCGTGTTTCAGAAGGCACAGCGTGTTCCAGAAGGCACAGCGTGTTCCAGAAGGCACAGCGTGTTCCAGAAGGCACAGCGTGTTTCAGAAGGCACAGCGTGTTCCAGAAGGCACAGCGTGTTTCAGAAGGCACAGCGTGTTTCAGAAGGCACAGCGTGTTTCAGAAGGCACAGCGTGTTCCAGAAGGCACAGCGTGTTTCAGAAGGCACAGCGTGTTTCAGAAGGCACAGCGTGTTCCAGAAGGCACAGCGTGTTCCAGAAGGCACAGCGTGTTTCAGAAGGCACAGCGTGTTTCAGAAGGCACAGCGTGTTTCAGAAGGCACAGCGTGTTTCAGAAGGCACAGCGTGTTTCAGAAGGCACAGCGTGTTCCAGAAGGCACAGCGTGTTTCAGAAGGCACAGCGTGTTTCAGAAGGCACAGCGTGTTCCAGAAGGCACAGCGTGTTCCAGAAGGCACAGCGTGTTCCAGAAGGCACAGCGTGTTTCAGAAGGCACAGCGTGTTCCAGAAGGCACAGCGTGTTCCAGAAGGCACAGCGTGTTTCAGAAGGCACAGCGTGTTCCAGAAGGCACAGCGTGTTTCAGAAGGCACAGCGTGTTCCAGAAGGCACAGCGTGTTTCAGAAGGCACAGCGTGTTCCAGAAGGCACAGCGTGTTCCAGAAGGCACAGCGTGTTTCAGAAGGCACAGCGTGTTCCAGAAGGCACAGCGTGTTTCAGAAGGCACAGCGTGTTCCAGAAGGCACAGCGTGTTCCAGAAGGCACAGCGTGTTCCAGAAGGCACAGCGTGTTTCAGAAGGCACAGCGTGTTCCAGAAGGCACAGCGTGTTTCAGAAGGCACAGCGTGTTTCAGAAGGCACAGCGTGTTTCAGAAGGCACAGCGTGTTCCAGAAGGCACAGCGTGTTTCAGAAGGCACAGCGTGTTCCAGAAGGCACAGCGTGTTCCAGAAGGCACAGCGTGTTCCAGAAGGCACAGCGTGTTTCAGAAGGCACAGCGTGTTCCAGAAGGCACAGCGTGTTTCAGAAGGCACAGCGTGTTTCAGAAGGCACAGCGTGTTCCAGAAGGCACAGCGTGTTTCAGAAGGCACAGCGTGTTTCAGAAGGCACAGCGTGTTCCAGAAGGCACAGCGTGTTTCAGAAGGCACAGCGTGTTTCAGAAGGCACAGCGTGTTTCAGAAGGCACAGCGTGTTCCAGAAGGCACAGCGTGTTTCAGAAGGCACAGCGTGTTTCAGAAGGCACAGCGTGTTTCAGAAGGCACAGCGTGTTCCAGAAGGCACAGCGTGTTTCAGAAGGCACAGCGTGTTTCAGAAGGCACAGCGTGTTCCAGAAGGCACAGCGTGTTCCAGAAGGCACAGCGTGTTCCAGAAGGCACAGCGTGTTTCAGAAGGCACAGCGTGTTTCAGAAGGCACAGCGTGTTTCAGAAGGCACAGCGTGTTCCAGAAGGCACAGCGTGTTCCAGAAGGCACAGCGTGTTCCAGAAGGCACAGCGTGTTTCAGAAGGCACAGCGTGTTTCAGAAGGCACAGCGTGTTCCAGAAGGCACAGCGTGTTTCAGAAGGCACAGCGTGTTCCAGAAGGCACAGCGTGTTCCAGAAGGCACAGCGTGTTTCAGAAGGCACAGCGTGTTCCAGAAGGCACAGCGTGTTTCAGAAGGCACAGCGTGTTTCAGAAGGCACAGCGTGTTCCAGAAGGCACAGCGTGTTCCAGAAGGCACAGCGTGTTCCAGAAGGCACAGCGTGTTTCAG